CGGTGTGACTCAGCTGTGTAACTCTACCCCGGGAGCACATCTGGTGTGACTCAGCTGTGTGACTCTACCCCGGGAGCACACCCGGTGTGACTCAGCTGTGTAACTCTGCATGGTAGTCAACATCATGTCAGTCAACTTCGTGATGGTCAGTTTTGTGGTGGTCATATCTGTAGTGGTCAGTTTTATTGACCTTCTTGACTTCTTTTATTGGCCTTCTTGATTTTTTTTCTGGATGTTATTGTTAATTCATGGTTGTCTATATCATCCTGAAGGTATAAGGTGTGTGAAATACTGGGAAAATAGTGGCATATGCTAGACATGCAACCATTGTTTACAACTGTTTACTCCAAGAACGGAGAGATGCCTCAGGAGTTAAGAACAACGATTGCTCTTGCAAGGGCCCAAGTATGGTTCCCGGCACCCACCCGGTGGCTCACAGCTGCCTGTAACTCCAGCTCCAGGGCACATGATGAGTCCTCTGACCTCCACGGGCTCCCGCATGCACATGGTGAACTTTCATACACATATACAATACACATAGGCAAGCACATGAACACGTGAAATTACATAAATGGGTATTTTAAAATATGTGCTTGTCTGCTTGGTGGCTGTCACTTTATCAATGGTCCTTTGTCACCCTGCCAGTCTTTGTGGGCCCCCTTCAGGAAGCAGAGTAAAGTGAGCAGACAGTTCTAATTAGTGCTGCTTGCAAGGGGTGTTTTTGTCAATTATTTTTGAACAAATTGTTTGATCTATAAAAACAGTAAATCTGTCTTTCAAAACTTGCAGCCTTACTACCCAAGATTTAGAATTAATTATATTCAAATGTTAGCACATGCTGGGGTCACTTAACAGGTGATGTGTGAGTCCCATTCTTGTTATCCAGCAGCTAAATTCTCCTTATTATTAACTGAGTACTGGGAACTTGCTTTCCCATTGGGGTTGATTTTCAAGTTGGCCTCTGAAAGAGTTGGCTCCCTTCTGTCTGTTTATAATTCTCTGCATCACCTTTCTTTGTCTTTTCATTTTAGAATTAAAAGATGTGTTTGGAATCTATCTCAAAGGAGCCCAGGATATCTAACTGTAAATACTGCTTCATTTTTCATACATATTGTAAGTATGAAAAATAGGAGAAAAAAAACATGTTTTTGAGAGGCTGTCCATAGAAAAGTTAATTTCCCCCCTCACCTTCCTTTCATCCCCTGGACATCTGCTTTCTTGCTTCCGAGTTTAACTTTATCTCTCTAAGAACAGATGTAACTGTGCGTGAGAGACAAATTTGTACAAACATATAATATTGGTAGAATACTTTACATATATACACATACATATACATACATATTGTTTTCTGAGACAGGGTCTCTGGGTCTCCGTCTATATGGTTCTGACTGTTCTAGAGCTCACTGTGTAGACCAGGCTATCCTTGGATTTATAGAGATTCACTTGCCTCTGCCTTCTGTAATTAAACATGCCCAACCACACCTGGCATATACTTTAAAAAAAAAAACATAGAGAATACTTTAGCATTTTCCTTCTAAGAGTATTTAATTTAATTTTATTTCTCCATGTGTGTGCTTGCACATGTGTGTACAGTGCCCTCAGAGGCCAGAAGGAGGCATCGGATGCCCTGGAGCTGGAGTTACAGAGGGTTGTGAGCCACCATGTGGGTCCTGCAAGCTGAACTCAGAGCCTCTGAAAGAACAGGAAGTGCTCTCGACGGCTGAGCCATGTCTCCAATCCCACACTTCCATTTTCAACTAGCGAGTCTTCAAGATGCTTCTGAAGAACAGGATTACCCTTCAGTTAATTACATATTTGCAATTTTTGTTTCTATGTGCCTTTTGTCTTCTGCTTTTTTCCATTTGCTTTACCCAGCCCCCATCCCAGTGTATTCACGGCTCCCCCATCTCTGCTGAGGTTAGCTACTGATTTACCTATTTTATGGCCCCAACACCTCTAGGACACACACTAGCCTGTGTATTTACTCTTTATATCCGAGGGGTTGCCTCCTCTCTGGCGTGTTAATTCACACTCATTAAAGCCTCCCCACTGATTTCCTTAGGTTTGTTATCTTGTCTTACTTCTCGATGTCAAAGTCTGCTGTATTCTCACTGCTCCATGTACTCATCACACAGGACTAAGTGGCCGTTACAAAGGGATCCCACACACTTTGGTAGCCCAACATGATAGACATGCACTCATTTATATTGTGGTCCCTACTGGTATGAGAGGAAGGACACAGGCCGTGGAATCAGCTTAAGCACTCGGAGGCCACGCAAGGGTCTGGCATTTTGCTTTGAAACTAATTCTTTCTCCTCTGTATAAATTGCTAAAAGGAACAGCTAACAGGCACTGATATTCACACACACACACACACACACACACACACACACCGTTTCTTTTCTCAGAGCACAGATTCAGTGGCTGTTACCAACAGCCTAGAATGCCTAGAAACTGAAGATGACAGTATTTTTTTTTAATAAAAACGTCTTTGTTTTTATTTTATGCATAAAGGTGTCCTGACTGCACTGATGTGTGCGTGTCCAAGGGCATCGGATACCCTGGAGCAGAACCTACAGAGTCTGAACTCTGACGCTCTGCGGAGAAGCCTGCATTTCACATCTCAGGACTTCCATTAGGCAGTTGTCCATTTAAATGGCTGTCAGAGCAAAGGGAGCAATATTCACACACCTGCTTAGCAGCTTCCCTTAAGGAGCTGTTTGGTTTTATCTCAATTTGAGGTGGAGGTCATGGCACATTATTTTAGTATTTAAAGTTCTTTTCTTATTTCTTTAAAACTTATTCGATTGAGACTCAGAATCTTCCCTTCCGTTATTTCTCTCCTGAGCTTCAGACCCTCATTGTATAGAAAATTAAGAAAATACAAGACCTAAAATAAACAATAATATTCCCCAGAAGACACACAGAATATACACTGACCTATGTGATATGTGAACAAACATAAGTGGAAATCAGAGCCGTCGTTTTGCAAACAAACTTTCTGCTATACCAAATTTGCCCTGGTTATTAATCCTAGCCTGTTTGGCAATACCAACAAACTTTACTCAAGTCTAGCAGCGATCTAGCGCCACCTAGCGCCACACATAAAAATTCTGCTTTTCTCCTTTTCTCCCCCCCCCCCCCCTCTTCTTTTCCCCTTCGTCTGGACGAAAGGTAGATTACTATCCCAGATAATATTCAGGAAAAGGTGAAATATAAAAAGGTGGAGAACTATATGCAATTGCTCACGCTTGTAATCTCAGTACTCTGGAGGACTGCCATAACGTTTCAGGCCGGCCTGAGTCACATAATATCTTCCAAGCCCCTTCAGTCTACAGAGTGAGACCCTGCCTCACAAATAAAATTAAACAATGCAAAATAAAAACACCACTGACTAATTGAAACTCCAAAGATTATTTCAGAAAGATGGTTGTCGTCTCTGTGCGCTCAATTGAAGGCGAAGGAGAAAAAGTCAGAGAGAAAACGCTGCTGTCAGTGAGAGACAAACAGAGGGAGCATAAAACTTCAGACCTCTGGTTTGTCGCCAGCCAAGGTCACAGGGACCAAAGCCCCGCAGATGGAGCTCAGATAAAATTATTTGGAGTTCTGCAAGGCTGAGCCTTGAGGTTAGACAAACCTTTTGATACCGGTGGCAAAACAAAAACAAAAGCCAAGGGGTTTTCTGTCTGTGTCTCTCACACGGAAACATTCTTGGTCCTCACACCTAGCAAACTCACTCCTGGGAGTCTCAGAGAGAAAGTCAGGTGGAGCCCTAGCCACCAGGAAGGAAGAGGGAGGGATCGAGCTCCTTCTGAAGTGGGCGCAGGGCGGAGCCGCGGGAGCATCCTTGAGCAGTCGTCGCGAAGCATGATGGGAAAATCCTCCTTCCCTTGGACATGGCGCGCACCTGCCCGGCAACATTGGCCGGCTCCAGCACCGCGCTGTACCGGTCCGCGCTGTCCAGCGTCTGCCGGGGGTTGGGTGGAGGCGGCGGGGGAGGAGGCACGACTGGAGCACACCCGCGTACAGCACCGTACTGAGCCCCCAAGGTGCTGAGCCTCAGGGCACGCACGGCCCCTGTCCGACTCTGCGGGCATGGCGTCCCAGGTGTTACAGCTGCTCAGGCAGGGCGTGTGGGCCGCACTCACAGGGGGCTGGTACCATGACCCCGAGCATAGCAAATTCACCAACAGCTGCCACCTCTACCTGTGGCTGTTCCTGCTGCTGCTTCCTCTGACTCTGCACCTGGTGAGTCTCCAGCTTAGGAATGGATGGGGGCGGGGGAGGAGGAGGAGGAGGAGAAACAGGAAGGGAATAAGGAGGACGAAGAAAAGGAGGGAAGGAAAATTAACAAGAGGAAAAGAGGAAAGGGGAGAGAAGATAGGAGATGAATGAGCTAGAAAGAACAAAACAGAAGAGGGAGAAAGGTTGTGAAGGAGAAAGTAGGAAGGGGACGGGAAGTCAGAGACTAGACCTGGGCTGGGAAGGGGACAGTGACTTTTGAGAAGTAGGGCCTGGAGAATGTGGGGGATTTGGGACAGCAATCCTGCAGGACACCAGGGAGTCACAGGGAAGAAGTACCTAGGACTTCGGGGACTGTGGGCTCATTAAGAATTGATGCCGTCTGCCTGGATGAGTCAGGCCCTGCTGGGGAACTGTTGAGACTGGCTTATGGGTACCCAACCCTAGGCCTCACGGCTCGGGATGGTATCTGCTATAACGCTGCCTGCAGAGTCACAATGAAGAGGCAATATAAATTCTCCCAGGCGACCTGATTTCGGTTGTTTGTTGTTTTTTTTGTTTTTGTTTTTTTTTTCTCCTCTCCTTGCTTCCTGTTTTGCTTTAGGAAGGCAGATTCTACCATCAGTTACTTTGCAATTCCCACACCATGGTGTATAGAAGGTGGGGGTGGGGGACACAGGAGTGGATAAATGTCGTATATGGTATGCCAGAGCAGTGTGACACCTCCTCCTCCGGGATGGACACCATGAGGGTACTAGCGAACGCTTGCTGAGAGATTACATAGATGACCTTCATAGGTCAGTTAGACACATAGGTAGTTGAAGCCATGGTGAAACCTCCTTAACAAACTGCCTGCTGTTGAGTTAGGAGTCCGGTCAGATGTGCCTGTGAAGGACTTCATCCCTAAACAGCCCACGATCGTGTTCTCCTCCACAAAATCTTCAATGAGTTTGCATGGCTGACAGGTTCCGAGTCTGACATTTGAGATGCCTGGTGGCTTGGCATCCCTAGACTCTGGCTCCTTTTCTGGCAGTTAGTCCAGAGCTGTGGTTCGGAAGGCAAACTGCCTCAGTTGAACTCTGGTTCCAGTTTTTCCCAGTTTTAGAAGCTTGAAAGAACTTAACTCACTCTGACTTTTCATTTTCTCAACTTTAAAAAAAAAAAAAAGAGGAAGAATACAATCACGGTTTTATCCTTACATTTTATTTATTTGTGGGGAATGGTGGTGTGTGTGGTGTGTGTACGTGTGCTGTGGTGTGGTGTGTGTGTTCATATGCTGTGTGTGTGTGGTGGTATGTGTATGCTGTGTGCATGTGTGTAGTGTATATTGTGATGTATGCGTGTGTGTGTGGTTTGGGGGTTGAGGTGCATGTGGTGTGTGTGTGTGTGTCGTATGTGTGGTGTGCTCTGGGTGTGATACATGTGTGTGTGTGATGTGTGTGGTATGGGGTTGAGGTGTGTGTTGTGTGTGTTGTGTGTGGTATATATGTGTATTTGGGGTGGTGATGGTGGGGTGCGAGTGTGTGTGTGTGCTTGCAGGCATGTGGAGGGGTCAGAGGACAACTTGCAGGAATTCCACTATGTGGGCTTGGTGGATCAAAAGGAGGTTATAAGGCTTGGTAGCAGTGGGTACACTGAGCTATCTTATGGGCTGCTATAGCCAGTTTGTGGGTGCAGTGGAGTTCAGTGAGACAGTATATGTGAAATCTTGTCTGGATCAGTCTGGGCTTGGACCTGGACTTACCAGCTTATTGGACTGATGTTGGACCTACCTAGCCCTTAGTTTTTAAGGTGGAGGCCCCTCCAGAGAGAGGTGGTGGGAAGATGTGTCTGAACAGCTAGTCTTTTGGATGTAATCTCAAAGCTTGGTGACAGGAAGTTGGCCCCATAATCCTCAGTCAGGAAGCAGAGGCAGGTGAATGATAGTGCTCAGCTCATTTCTTTTTTATTCAGCTTGAGACCCCAACCCCTGGGGTGGCGCCGTCCATATTCAGGATGAGCTCTCCAGCCTGAATTAGCTCAGTCTAGAAACCCCTTTACAGACAAGCCCAGGGACTTGCCTTTGTGTGATTCTAGATTCTGGGACATTGACAATCCAGATTCACCATCACAAGTTTCACGTGTTTACTCCACTGCTGACTTTATGTCTTTTACATATTAAAAATGTGTTATACTGTTTCAAAATAAGTGATGGACCACAAGGCACTGCCTGCATAACAACAGCACTGTGTCTCCTGAGAGGAATGAGTCACCCACATCATCCTCACGTGGAGACTGAGACACTGCTAGTGTCTGACGTGTGCTTTCCGAGCAGATTTTCTCCGTCATGTCCTATGCAGTAGAGGGTCTTGCTTTTTCTGAATCTAAGATTTATTCAAGGATCTTGCAAGGCTTCTAGATCTTTGATTCACCTTTACTCCAGAGGGTCCTCATCCTCTTTTGCTTTCTGGAGCATTTAAATCTGTTCTGTACAGTGTTTCTAAATTTGTATCTCTCTGTTTTCTGGGGGTTACATTTTGACTAGGAGTTTGGAGAAGGCAATACTGAAAAATGCTGTGTCTTCCTGCAGCATATTGGGGGGCGTGGCTTGTTATTCCCACCTCCCACTGCCATTAATGCAGCTGTTGACTGTGGTCACTGATCAGTGTGAAGTCTGCTAGGTTTCTGCACTGTGAAGTATGTATCCCCTTTCTGCATTTAGCAATAGGTGAATTGAAAGCTATACAGATTTCATTGCCATCAGTTTTAAACTCAGTGACTACTGTACTCTGGCTTAAAATACTTGGCACAATAGTAGTTACAATGTGCCGACTTTCCACCTCCCTTCTTCCAGGCTTTCTCAGCTGGTAGGCTTCTGCTGAAGAGAGTGTTCTCTTACCTTTGCTCACTAGCCGTGTTCTGTTTGTTATTGTTTACTTCATAGAAATATTTCGTTTGCTTATTTGTTTTTTCGAGACAGAGTTTCTGTGTGTAACTTTGGAGTCTGCTTGTCACTCATTCTGTAGACCAGGCTGGCCTTGAACTTACAGAGATCTGCCCACCTCTGCCTCCCAAGTGCTGAGATTAAAGGTGTGTGCCACCACTTCCCGGCTCACATTTGTGTGTCTATGTGATATATACATACAGCCCATGACTGTGTAGAAGCCAACTTTTGACATGGGGTGTCTACTTCAATTACTACCCATCTTAGCTTTTGAGACAAAGTCTCTCTGAACCTAGAGTTCTGCAATTCTACTAGACTGGATGGCTAGTAAGTTCCAGAAATCTTTCTGCCTCCATCTCTCCAGATCTGGGATTGCAAGCATACATTGTCACCTATGCTTTTACAATGGATACTAGGGGTTTCCACTCAGGTCCTCATGCGTGGGTGGCAGGCACTTTCAGCCTATCCCATCAGCACTGCTTCTGATGCTCAGTGGTACCCAGTCATCTTCCCAGGGCTCTTCTACTCTACCTGGATAGGGACTCTTGGTATGCAAGGAGATACAATTTAGTCACTGGGAATCCTGGGTCCCCAAGGGCTGGACTGGAAGACCCAGAAGCTCACATCTCAAGCCCTGAGATCTTCAGAAGCCTATTACTCTAGGCTTTAGCAGCTAGTCACTTGGGATTTAATCATCAGTGGTCCCAGCATCCCAGCAGCTCAGGTCATCTTTAGCTTCTCAAAGCAGTGAGCAGAAACAGGAGGCACCCATTAGTATCGCAGCTCCCCAATACACATCCAGCATTAGGATGTTCAGCTAATACAAAGGCATGTGTTTGAGCTCTTCGCCTCTCTACTCTTGGACAACAGCTAGCATTAAAGTTCTCAGGCCCATGGTGTCTGAGATGCTCAGCCCTTCAGGCCTGGCAGTCTCTCACCTCTGTTCGTCACAATCTTTCTTATTCAGTCCCAGCTCTCTTCCTTCCCCCACCTTCTTCCTCTTCCACCACCCAGCACTATATTCATTTCCAGTTTCCCCTCATCCCTTCCCATGAAAAAAATAAATTATAGACCATTAGATCAAACAACAATGTCTTTATCGTATTTATGACTATTGATTTGTCTTAAATATAGACTTTTTGGTCTGTGAAGTCCATTAAGAATCTTCTGGTCCTTTGATTCTCTGACATAAAAAATTTATCTTGCATGGTGTGTCTATGTCCTGAATCTTTACCGTCTCAAAAGAAAAGGCAGATGGAATACTGGCTCTGCAGTTAAGGGACTTGAAGAGCAAATATGAGGACCGGAGTTTAGATGCTCAGAATTCACATAGAACATTGCGTTGGTTTGGCAGCCCACCTGTAATTCCAGCCTCAGAGAGCAGACAGGGAATCCCAGAGTGAGCTGGTTAAGTGAGACAAGCCATGCCTGTGAGCTCTGGGTTTGGTTGTGAGACCCTGCCTCAGTGGATAAGGTGGAGGATGATTCCCGATCTCAACCTCGGGTCTCCACATGCACATTCACCTATGTTCATAAGTTCCCACACATATGCCAACATGCATGCCACACACACATACAGTCACACACACACATCCTATACATCTAAGGAAAATGGGGGAAAGAATAAAAAAATAGAAGAAAGCTGAAACATATTCCATTGCTCTTCTTTGTCTTGTTAACGTGTTTCTAAAACAAAGACTACACCTCAGTACTTAATAACCAGGAAAGAAGAAAAATGTCTGTCCAGAGGAGATATGCCCCAGGAACCCTTGAAAAGATCTTTCATTAGAAAATATTTGCTGGGGCTTGCATGTAAACTGTCACTAACAGGCTCTCTTGTTGGAATGCGTGCTTCCCAGCCATGGCACTGTTTGGGAAGGTTCTGGAGCCTTTGGGCGATGAAGCCTCACTGGAGGAAGTGGTTCGCAGAGGGTGGGCATTGGGGTCATAAAGCCCAGTCCCACTTCCTGTCCACTCTCTGCTTCCTGTTTCATCAAGATCTGGAGAGGTTTGGAGTCCCACCAATGTACGTCTGCCAGTGTGGGAACTGCCTGCTGCCTTGCTTCCTCTCCAGCCTGGGCCATTTACCTTTAAAACTGTGCTCCTCAACCTTCCTAATGCCGTGACCCCTTCTCCTCATGTTGTGGTGACCCCAACCTTAAAATTATTTTTGTTGCTACTTCATAACTGCAATTTTTGTTACTGCTATGAATCATAATGTAAATATATGATATGCAGATAGTCTTAGACAATAGTTGTGAAAGGGTTCTTTGACCCCACCCCCACAAAGGGGTCATGACCCACAGGCTGAGAATTAATGCTTTAAAGTGTGAGACAAAATGAGCCCCCCTCCCTGAAGTCGTTTCTTGTCAGGCACTTGGGGACAGCAGTGTGAAAAGTCACTAACACAGCGAGTTGCCTGGCTTGCTCCACAGTTTCCTTCTTATGTAGGGACACAGCGAATCTACCCACCAGCAAGCAAAACACTTGCTCTATGGCTCCTTGTTCCATTTAAAACTGTGTCTGAATTGTCAATAGTGTCTATGGTTTGGAGATTAATAAGTAAATAGCACATTCAGGTATAGTTTTAAGGATACAGGGTGGATAGTGGCTGCAAGAATGGCGATGGAAATTAGAGATGCTAGCATCTCAGTGCTTGCTGGGTACCCAGAGTCCTCCTGTTTCTGACTTCTTAGCACTGCCAGGCTTTTTCATGTGAGGTATGGGGATTTAACTTAGGTCCTCATGTTTGTGTGGCAAGCATTTTACTGGCTGAGCCATCTCTCCAGCCTCAACTGATCTGTGTTCCCAGCCCTATTTTAATTCACATAATAACAGCATGTTGATGCGTGGCTTGGTGCATACATTATGTAAAGGCTGAGTCCTGCTACTTATAGCAACATGCTTAGTAATCCAGATTCCGGTGATGAAGCATAATATGTATAAAAATCAAAGAGCTTAGTACAACCATTGGCCATCAAAGTCGCTGTTCAGAACCTGGGAAGCAAAAAAGACCAAGGGTAAATAAATAATACAACTCTTTTGCTTTGGAGATTCTAGCCGGAGAAAATCCCCAAGAACTTGAAATCTTGACTGACTTTTGCTCAGTAAACAGTTGAATTGCGCTGAGGTTTAAAACAAGGTAGAAGCCCGCAGGCATGCGCATCCTCTCCCTCTCCTCTCCGCAGGCCTTCCCTCCAAGCGTCCTCACTGCGCTGTTCTACTGCGGCGCTGTGACCACTCTCTTTGCGATCATCAAGCTTGTCAGCTACCGCCTGCACCTCATGTTCGATAAGGGAGAAGTGATCCAGCGCCAGTCCCCGCGAAAGAGGAACAAGCGAAGACCAGAGGGAGAGGCCAGCAGCCAGCGCACGGCCAGTCACAAAAACCCAAGGTAACCTTGTCCAGATGAGCACCCACTCCCAATAGGAAGGATTTGGTTCTGGTGAAAATGGCGCTCTGTAGGGTGGGACTGTATCTAAGTCTGTAGGGCCCTTGCCTAGCATCCCCAGCGACCTGGGCTCAATTCTCTGCACTACAAAAATCTTGTATGCTGATGTGTGCACTTGGAAGGTGGAGGCAGTAGAGTTGGGAGTGCAGCGTCATCTATGGGTGCATGGTGAGCAAAAGGTGCCTCCTACATATGAGTTATGTATGAGGGCAAACATCCCAGGCTGACATGGGTCTCTGTACTTTGCTTACATTTAAAGCTAAACTTTCATAAAATTAATTTTTGCAATCTGGATATTTTATCTGACCACCAATATGGCTTTACACTAAGTTCTAAAATTCACTTGGCTTAGACTTAACAATGCTAACTATTCTACTTAAGTATTTAATCTTGTTACTTAAGTTTACAGAGTATACCAAAGAATCATAAAGAATAGTGTACCTTGTTATAGAGATCACACACGACACAATGAGGTTTGGAGGTCAATGCTTGAAGGACACCCAAGGTCACCATGCCTCTGTCATTCTCTTATAGTTTGAAGGTATGTCTCTCAGGCTGGGGAGGATACATGAGGACCTGGGCTTGATCCCCAGAATTCATGTAAAAATCCAGGCATGGTGATGTAGTCTTATAATCCCATTGTTGGGATCTGTACAGTTTGTTGGCCACCGACCCAGCCAAATAAGCAAGTTCCAGACCAATGAGACACATTGTTTCAACAAACGAGGTAGATGGCAAACAAGCTATACCTCAGGTTGAGCTCCCTCTGGCTTCCACAGGTACAAACACACACCTGCACATGTGCAGAGGTGGGGGGAAAGGGTGAGATGGAGAGGAAGAGAGAAATTTCTCTAATTTTCGGGGAAAACTTATGTGCTATTAAAAATAGGATTTGTATATAAGAAATAGACCTGAGGGAAACAGTTTGGGGTAACAGGGAGGCACACTGAAGAGCCTGGCTCTCTGGTAACATCTGCTCTTTCTCACCCTGGGTCAGCAATAACAGGCAGATTCACAGCGCCAAGAAGGAGGAGCCTCGAGGGAGCCTGTCCACACCACCGCTCCGCTGCAGCTCCCGAGGACAGAGCGTCCACTCTCAGCGTTCCTCGCCATTGGTTGGTGTTCACGCCCCAGCCCCAGAATGGAGCATGGGGGGGCAGCTGCAGTGGTCTCTTTGGTTTGCTGTGCCTCTCATGCTGTGCGCTGCAGAAATGGCCCGTGTACTTAGGACCATCAGACTTCACCTTCTGTGTGTTCCCAGAGTACCCATGTCCTCTCATGTGTCCATCAGCCATGAGGTCGTCAGATTGTTAGTGCCTCCTACTTGTAGCAAACTTCATCTCTTTCCCCATGGCTTTCTGCTTCTTGGAAAAACAATGTATCACTGTTCCTGTCAGGTAGCTTTACAGTTCTCCATCCATGACAGCTACGCCATATTGTTTCTGGTGTTAATTCCTCGTTACCATCCTCCCCGTTTCCATCACTGTGCAGCCATCTTGGGAGGATGTCTGCACTGAGATATGTTTTAGAGTCCATTTTTTTTGCCCACTTTATAAACACTTAAGAGGCACAGACGCTGAGGTGTCCCTTGCCTATGTATCAGTTAGACAGACTGAGTGGCTACTGGAGGGACAAGGGTGGTGGCCAGCTGTGTGGACCGCTCGGAATGTGCAGTGGGCTGACTCCTGTATTGATGTTTGTTTCCTGTTTCCGCAGGAATTGCCAGCACAGGAGACGGTAGAAGACCTCAAAGGTAGAGTGTTGTCCCTGTTGGATAGTTAATGACAGCCACATCCCCGGAAAAGTTAATTTTTAAATCATGTGTATACGTGTGTATTTCTGTGTGTGCACACAAGTTCGCACAATGAGTGCAGATATGTAGAGAGGCCAGAAGATGGCACCAGACACCCGTGAGCTGGGGTTACCAGCTGTGAGCTGCCGTTTGTAGGGAACGGAACTGGGCTCCCCTAGAAAAGCTTTAAGCACCCTTAACTCCGAGTTGCCTCTCCAGCTCTGAGGCGAAGATGTTAAGGGTCAGAGCTGTGAGTCTTTCTTGGAGGGCCCTGCTCCCATGGGACATGTGACCATACTGAAGGCTTTTTGATTGTCACAGTGGGAACCGAGTGCTGCTGACATCAAGCAGGCGAAGGCCAGGATGATACTTAGAGTGTCGTATGGCACACAAAGTGATCCCCACAGAGCAAAGGAAGAGCTTGTCCGACCTGTTGACTGGACCACTGTTGTTTCTCTTGGTTTTGCAGTGTTTCTCAACCCGTGGTCTTGACCCCCATAGGGGTCATATTTCAGATATCCTGCAATTCAGATATTCACATGACTATTCATAACAGCAGTAAAATAGCAGTTATGAAGAAGCAATGAAATGATTTTTATGGCTGGGGGTCACCACGACATGAGAAACAGTATTAAAGAATCGTGGCATTAGAAAGGCTGGGAACCACCGGTCTAGAGGGGTCATGTAACTTGCTCAAGATGGGAAGGTGACGGAGAGCAGAACCAAGCCCCTTCCAGCCACAAGGCCTGAGTGAGTACGTGATTTAGACCCCACTTCTCTGCCTCTTGAGGCTCCAGCACAGGAAAAGAAAATGAAAGAAGGAATCACGGTTGTCGTTCAGACCTCTCGAGAGCCCAGGAAAACAGGCATTTTTTTAGAGTAAGCACCAGGGCTAGGCTGGCTCATGGGCAGAGTGCTTGCCTCGTAAATGTGAGAACCCAAGCCAGATCCCTAGAGCCCACATAAAAATCCTAGGTGTACTGGTACATGCTTGCAAACCCAGCTCTCAGGATACAGAGACAGGGGGATTCCCAAGGCTCATCAGTCAGCCAGCCTAGTCCAATGGGTAAGTTTCAGACTGGCGAGAGACCCCTGACTCAAAGAACAAGGTGAGTGGTGTCTGAAAGAATGGCAGCTGAGATTGACCTTGGGCCCATGGATAGGTATGTTTGCTTACACTCAAGTACACACACAAGCATTGGAGTATTTGCTGCTGGTTTTGGTTTTAATGTCTCACTCTGAAGCATTAAACATCATGGTGAACGTGTCTCGCGCCACCCCCGTCATTCATTTCAGGCGTTGTTCTGTCAGAGGATCAACCAGAGGCAGTGGTGTCATCTACCTCACCTGGCATCAAGTCGGAAAGCCTATCTGCATCTCAGGGACGTACACCGGAGCCCACCCCCAGACCAGCAGGACCAGTGAAGCCAGTTACCACAGAGATCCTCACAGGAAGAAAAGGGAAAGAGCCGGGGGGCGCTAGCCAGCGCCCAGCCCGACACAGGTCTGAGAGTGGCCTGGTGAACACTGGAGCCTTGAAGAAGTTGCCACATCTGTCCCTGTCCCAGTATGACTTACTAGAAACTGACACCTCCTTCCAGCCGTGGGGCAGTGAGCACTCAGCTCTGATTCCACAGGGCCCCAGTTGTCCCCAGGGCCCCACCAGGGCACAGTCACAGAGCAGAACACCTCAGGGCAGTCTGAGCAGCAACTGCGACCAGCATAACACCGTCCTGGCCAAACCCACAGAGGAGGAGGAGCTGACCCAAACATCTGGTCAGGTGGAGCCACCCTTGAACCAGGAAGTGGCTGACTCTGATGGCGAGGTTGCGGTGACCCTCATTGATACCTCCCAGCCTGGAGAACCACTGAGTCTGCACGAGCCCATTAAAATAGTCATCACGATGAGCAGCGCTCCAAACTCCACAAGTGACCTGGAGAGTTCCCTGCACCTGAAGGTAACCAGCTCTGATCGAACCAGTGTCAGGCTGGATGCAGAGCCTTCTGGTCCAGGAGTGGCCGGTCCTGCAGATTCTGAGCAGGTCAGAATTCCTTTGATAACCCTTGAATTAACTGAGGACGGAGGAGGGAGAGGCATCTCTTGTCCTGAAAGAAATGAGGGAGAAAGGACCTCAGGGAGAACGCAGATGGTGTCATCTGATCATTGTCTTGGTTGTGGATCTGGGGACATGGAGTGTAGCACCAGAAATGGCAGTCCCACCCCACAGCAAGCCTGGGAACCAGGCCCCACCCCTGCTCCGCTCACACCCAGGGTGGACCCCGAGTCTGAAGAGAGCAGGGAGGGCCAGGCTAACCTGGACCCAGCGTCTTGTAAGAGCGGCCATGAGAAAAGGCACACCCGTGTGCTCAGCGTGGACAGTGCGACTGATGTCTTCTTGAACCGGAGTCCCAAGGAGGTGGCCGGCGACAGCGAGAAACCCATCCCCACATCCAAATCAGACCTGGAAGCCAAGGAAGGGCAGATTCCAAATGAATCCAACTTCCTAGAGTTTGTCTCCCTACTGGAATCCATCAACACCTCCAAAGGGGTGGCCTCCGACTCAGCAGCAGAGCAGAAAGGAGCAGATCAGGGTCCTGCAGGTAAGACTCCAACTGCTTCTCTCTGATGACATCACAGTGTCTTCCCTTCGCCTGTGCTACCCGATCTAGGGCATCAGCTCTCAGGGGCTGCTCTGTTGCATTGTGTGTGTGTGGTCCTCATTATGTAGACCAGGCTAGCTCATTACATAGGCCAGGCTAGCTAGTCTATGAGCTCCCAGGGAGCTATCTGTCCCCACCTCCCATCGTGCAGCATTGGGATTATATGCCGCGGCACCCAGCTTTTATTGTAGATTCTGGGAATCTGAACTCAGCTCCGCGTGCTTGTGAGGCAAGAGTTTATGGATTGAGCCATCTCCCCAACAATGTTGCTTATTTCTGCTCCCCATACTTATTACACGTACTGGTCCTGAGCTGTGGAACTGCTATGTGTCAGATTTGGGATGTTTTCAGTTTTTAGAATATTCGGCTGCACACAATGAGGTGTTTTTCAGGTAAGACCCACGATGCTCATGGGAATGTCAACACTCGTTCCTTTTCTGGCTCTACCCCATACACAGCCCCGGGTGGGCTATGTGCTTGTATTCTAACTGTGCCTTGTCACATGAGGTCAGGTTTAAGTTTCCTCTTGCAATGCCACGTTGCTGCTCAGAAAGTTCCGGATCTTGGGGAATTTCCAGATTCAGGTTTTCGGGGTGGGGGGTGCACATGCATCTGCTCGCTCCACAGAAATATGAAGGCTTTACAAGGAGCTGCCAGCTTCTCTAGAAGCCAAGGGTGTTTATTTCCAGGGAAAGAAGAAATCGTTTTTTCTATGGTTCCAGCTGCTGGGAAACAAGCGTCTCTTCCAGCAGAGGTGACAAGCCTGCTGGGAAGCTCAACACAAAGCATGTTTCTGTTAAGGACCCTGCGTTGGGTACCAGGGATGACTCAGCTGATTAGGTGTTTGCACATGAGCAGTTAGATCCCCTAAGACCCATGGGGGAAAGAAACCCAGATAGGGCAGTGCGTGTCTGTAATCACAGAACTGGGGAGATGGAGGTAGGAGAATCTTTGGGGAACCACTGACCAACCAGTCCAGCTGAACTGGCGAGCTCTAGATTCAACGATAGATTCTGTCTCAAAAACAAAGGTAAGAACAGTCTAGGAAGATACCTGATGTTTATCCCTGGCTCTGTGTGCACTTGCATACATTCAGGCATGCGCGCACGCGCGCGCACACACACACACACACACACACACACACACCCTTACTTTCCCTACAAAATTATGTTCCAGAATGTGGAACCTCCTAGTACTTCCAAGTTGCACACATCATAGCAAGTCCTTCTGATGTTCTTGATTCATGCCAGGTGCAGTCTTGAGCCCTTTATTTCCTCGGCTAGAGTGGCTACATCCTGTCTTACCTGAGGAAGGTCCTCACTCATTCTTCTTTTGCTAACACTGACATCAGTTATCAGTACCAGAAACCTCACTAAGTACTCAGAATTTGAGTGTTATTCTCCGTATGCCATGGTGTTTTGAATACAATAGTTGTTCCTCCTTTAAAGTCGAGGCACAACGATTGTCATTGCTTTCCCCAAGTTACCCAATGAGTACAGGAGGTGTCTACCTGAGGCCAGTGGTGGCAGCCTGCTTCAGGGCCCCTGCTCATCACCATCAAACCATGTTTTCTAGAGGGGTTTGTTTGCAAGGGAAGCAGTTTCCAGTTTCCCCTTTGATAAAAATAATGCCGCCAAACCACAGTTATTGTATTGTTTAGCTTTAAAGTCCCATGATGCTGTGGTGTTCGCATCATTCTGCATGTGCCTGCGCCGAGCGGGTGCACAAGGCTACTGACTGTGACCGTGACACTCAGGGCAGCGTTTGCTTAGCTGCTGGTCATTCTTGGCTCTCAGGACAATTCCACAGTGGCTGCTCTGAGCAACTTCCTCCAGTTCAGTTGAATCTGAAACAGACAGACAACACATGCATCAAAGGTAGAGATATTTTTTGAGATAAGAGTTCTTTAAGCTTATTTATTTATTATGTGTGGAGAGAGGTGGTGCATGCCATGGCATGCGTGGGGAGGCCAGAGGACAACTCCGAGTTCTTGTCTTCTCCCATGTGAGTGCCAGGAATCAAACTCATGTCCTCAGATGTCAAGGCAAGTGCCTTTACCCAGTGAACCGTCTCACTGGTCACCTGTAGCCCACATTAGTCTAGAACTCAGTGTCACCAGGATGATCTTTGAACTTAAGACTTCCCTCTTCCGCCTCCCAAATCCTGGGACATCAAGCGTGCACCACCACACACAATTTATGCCACACTGAGGTCAAACCCAGGACCCTGTGCATGCTGGACAAGTGCTCCACCAACTGAGCTACAACCTCACCCTCACCCCTTTACAGTCCTTTTGAGACAGGGTCTCCTGTAACCCAGGCTGGGCGCAAACTTGCTATGTAGCTGAGGATTACTTAGACACCTGAGCCTCCTGTTTCTTCCTTTCCCAGTGCTAGGATTACATGTGTCTTCTTCTGTGTCCCCTCAGGCCACTCAAGGCTTATTCAGCTTGTCTCTTTCAGAGTCCATCTTCCTTAAACTGCTTGTCAGTTGGGTTCAGTCACCCTGGCCAAGAGCAGCTTGTGGGAGACAGGGCTTATTCAGCTGACACACAGTTTCAGGTTACAGTCCGTCACTGCGGGGAAGTCAAGGCAGGGACACAAGCAGCCAGTTATGTCACAGTCGTAGCCAAGAGCAAAGAGAGAATGACCTCATCCTTGTTCGCCTACTTGCTTGGTTCCTAGACTTCTTTACTCTTACAACGTGGGAGGCCCAGACCCTGAAGTGGTGCCAGCCACACTCCGAGTGGATCTCCTCACCAGTTAAAGCAATCAAGATGGTCCCCAAAAGATGTGTGATAGGCCAACTTGATGCAAACAATCCCTCCTTATCGCTGTCTTCCTGAGTGATGGTAGGCTGTGGCAAGTTGATATTTAAGGCTACACCTCATAGAAATACAGCCAGGCTGTAAGGAGGTGGGGCTTCAGCTAGCTGGATTAGTTCTTTCTTATTGCTTTGACTAACAGATGATAAGCAACCCATGAAAGGGTTTATTTTGGCTCATTGTGATGGAGTGTAGTTGGCCATAGAGGGGAAAAGCATGGTGGCAGGAATGTGCAGCTGGGGCATTTGTTGGGGAGGGGGAAACAAGAGCAGAGAGTAAACAGGAAGTGGGGCCTAGCTATAAATCCTCTAGGGTCCTCCACCAGTAACCCATTTCTTCTAGTGATACCCCATCTCCCAATAGTTCCTTCCTGTCCTAGTTCCTTTCTTATATTGCCCTGAAGAGAAGCCATGACCAAGGCAACTTACAGAAGGAAGAGTTTATTGGGGACTTACAATTTCAGAGGGATGAGTCTGTGGCTATTATGGTGGGGAGCCTGGTAGCAGACAGTCAAGCAGGCAGGCAGGCCCTGGAGTAGAAGCTGAGAGCTCACATTTCCATCCACAAGCATGAGGCAGAGAGAAAGAGAGAGAGAGAGAGAGAGAGAGAAAGAGGTGGGCTTTTAAAATCTCAAAACCCAAGTGACACACTTCCTCCTACAAAGCTGCACCTTCTAATCCTTCCCAAACAGTCCTACTAACTGGGGACCAAGTATGCAAATATATGAGCCCATGGAGGACATTCTCATCCCAACCACACTTCCCAAATGGTACCACTAACCAGACACTCCAAACAGAGACTGTTCTTTCATTTCCCGGTCACCCAGACCCGAATAATCACACAGAAACTATATTAATTGCATCACTGCTTGGCACATTAGCTCAGGCTTCTTATTAACAAACTCTTACATCTTAAATTAACCAATTTCTATTAATCTGTGTATTGGCACAAGGCTGTGGCTTACTGGTAAGGTTCTGATGTCTGTCTCCTTTGGCAGTTGCATGGCATCTCTGTGACTCTGCCTATTCTCTCTATAAATCTCTTCCAGCCTGGCTGTATTCTGCCCTGTCATAGGCCAAAGCAGCTTTATTTATTAACTAATAAAAGCAACACATATACAGAAGGATGGGCTTGCGAGGGACATTTCACGTTCAAACCACAGCATGGGTGTTCTGTGAGAGGACCAGGGTTGGCAGTTGAGAGTGTGATGGTCCCAAAGGAGGAAGTGCCAGTGGTCAAAGGACATAGGCCGGAGACTCGGCACCATGCTGTCACTGACAGAGACCATTACTTAGGTGAAGTTGGGATTCTTGACTGCACCATAGAAAGCAATTTCAGGATGAGCCAGTGTGTGGCAGTGTTGCAATCAGTTAAGAGAAAAAGCTTAAAATAGATACAAATGTGTCAGTTAATAGAGCGGTATTTAAAATAGATACACATGTGTCAGTTACTAGAGCTGTATTTAAAGCAGATACAAATGTGTCAGTTAATACAGCAGTATTTAAAACAGATACACATGTGTCAGTTAATAGAGCGGTATTTAAAACAGATACAAATGTGTCAGTTAATACAGCAGTATTTAAAACAGATACACATGTGTCAGTTAATAGAGCGGTATTTAGGGAAAGACCAGGACACACCTGAGAGAGTGGGGGGCTTTTCAACAGGCTCACCCCCAAGTGTCTTTATAGTAGTTGTACACCACGGTTTTGGTGGCATCTAGGGTCACATCACAAAGGGTTGCTGAGGGATGGAAGCGAAACGCTAAGGTGGTCCCTGGGGTTTACTACGTGGAAGCACAGCTGTCACCTGGACCACAGGGAAAGGTCAGCTCTGTGATGACTAATCTATCAGCATGACACACCTAGGGAGAGACAGCCTCGTTTGGAGAGCTGCTTAACCTGAGAATTGGATTAACCTGTGGACTTGTCTGTGGGGCCTTTATTTGATTGCTAATTGATGGAGGAGGGCCCAGTGCTCTGTGGGTATGGTATCCCTGGGGTATATAAGAAAGGCAGCTCAGCAGGAGAGGGGAAGCAAGCCTGTAGGCAGTGTTCCCCTGTGGTCCCTACCTTGGCTTCCCTCAATGATGGACTGTACCCTACATGCTAAAAGAAACCCCTTTCCGGGGGCTGGAGAGATGACTCAGTGGCTAAGAGCATTGCCTGCTCTTCCAAAGGTCCTGAGTTCAATTCCCGGCAACCACATGGTGGCTCACAACCATCTGTAATGAGGTCTGGTGCCCTCTTCTGGCCTGCAGGCATACACACAGACAGAATATTGTATACATAATAAATAAATAAATATTTAAAAAAAAAAGAAACCCCTTTCACTTCAAGTTGCTTTTAGGTCAGAGTGTTCTATGTCATCAGCAGAGAAGCAAACTGTGACAGATACCTTCACTGTAAACAAACATTTATACTCTTGTCTGTAAGAGTCTCAGGAAACTCAGGGTCACACCTGGAGAGGGATTGTGGCCATATCTACACCTTAAGCAAGGAGTTCTTGCTATTTTAGCAATCTTATTCAAAGACTCTCCAAAGAAAAGGAATATTGTCTGTCTGTCAGCAACTGTGACAGACTGTTAACGGTGCTGGCATCCTGTCAGATGGAGTGAGGCTTTAGCTAGACTCCAGACTGCCTTTTCTGTGTCCCTTTGATTCCTCTGTCTCTCTGCCTCAAGAGTAGGACTAGACTGTGTATCTCCTTCAGAAAAGAAGAGAAGGGCCAAACAAGTCTTGTGCCTAGAGGCTATTGGAACCCAAGAGGCTTCGGTGATTCTCGGGCCTCTTGAGTTTTGCCATGTGTGTATTCTCTCTTTGAAGAATAATTGGTGACTGTATTCTGAATGCCCTGTTCTAGAATGTGCTTGTATGGCCAGATGACCATGTGAGGTGACATTGGAATTCTGTGCCATCTCCTCTAGTCATAGTTCTCATTGACAGGAGGGTACAGCTTGACCTCGGATCTGATCGGAGCTAGGGTGGGGCTTCTAGTTCCCATCAGGACGCTGTCTCTCAGCTGAGTTGTGCAGGGAAGGGCAGCGAACGGTCCTCAGCCCTCACATTATCCTTCCACTCAAGACTGTGGAAAATCATGCACCACTCAAAGCTTAGAGCTGGGTGTGGTGGTGCATGCCCACCATCCTGGCTCTCTGAAGGCAGGGCAAGAGCTCAGAACAAGCAAACATTTCCTCAGAGCAAGTAGATCAGCTGTCTGGGGGACAACTTAAAGCCAGGAGGGTTTTACTCAACTCCTTCGTGAGGATGGGGGCTTCTTGCTGTGAAGCTTGTAAGTGTCCTCCAGTTGTGAGCTTGGGTCCTGGAGAAAGTGTTTCCATTCTGAAGAAATATCTACACCACCAGGAAGTGAAAGACGTTAAGTTTGCAAGGACCTTGCTAACATGCCACACTGTATCTGCAGGTGTAACCATGTTAGGGTGACTTTGGAGATTATCTAGTGGCATTTGAGAGCATTAATCTTTAAGTAAATATGATAGTATTAAAAGGGAGTTTGTACTGGCTTTTTGGGGCCTTAGTCTATTTGGATGCAAAGCTTCCTAGGCCTGGATGAAGGAGGGAGGGAGGAAAGTGAATGGAAGGAGCGGGAGGGGAATGGGAGTAGGGGAGAAAGTGTAAATTTTTGCATGAAAAAATAAATTTAAAAAAAAAGAGAGTATATAGTGGTTTGAATGAAAATGGCCCTATAGGCTCATAGGGAGTGGCACCATTAGGAGGTGTGGCCTTGTTGGAGCAAGTGTGATCTTGTTGGAGCAAGTGTGCCACTGGAGATGGGCTTTGAAGTTTCAGAAGCTCAAGCCAGGCCCAGTGTCACTCTCTCTTCCTGCTGCCTGCTGGTCTAGATGTAGAACTCTCAGCTACTTCTCCAGCACCATATCTGCCTGCCTGCCACCATGCTTCCCACCACGATGACAATGGACTAAACTTCCTCACTGTAATCCAGCCCCAATTAAATGCTTTCCTTTATAAAAGTTGCTGTGGTCATGGTGTCTCTTCAGTAATAGAAACCCTAACTAAGCATCTTTAGTGCTGGTTCATTTTATGAAAAATATTTCACGTCTAGGGAAATAAGAACTCCAGTGAGCTCTGGTGTAAGAGCAAACACCTGGATTAAGGGGACATGGAGAGGTGGCCCGTATGCTAACCTGATGAATGACCACGTTAAGGGAGAGGACCTAAAATGCTGGAGATGAATAGATGTCCCTGGCAGTGTGGTGCAGGGCCTTCCTTGCTGCCCCTCTTCATGGGACCTGACATGGTTATTTGTTCTGGTGTCACACTTTTTTTTGTCAGCTGTGAGTACTGCCTGCCTAACAGACTGTCAAATGAAATCCATTCTTGTGTATGTGCCAGAAACACTTGCCACTGGCGTGCTGGGAATGCTTAGTGTCAGGGCCCCTCAGAAGCCAGTGATCTCCTCCAGTGACTGGGAAGAAGTTCAGGGAGGAGCTGCTGTGGTCATGTGGTTGACATGTTTGGGTACCTCGCTGCAGTTTCAGGCCAATGGCATGTCTGTGTGCATGTGGTGTGTGTGTATACACATGTGCGTACATGTGCCTACGAACATGTGGAGGTGAGGGGTGGATGTCAGGGTCTTTCCCTATTGCTTTCTACCTTGTTCCCTCAGACAGGATCACTCGTTGAACCTGGAGCTCACCGCTTCAGCTAGGCCAGCAATTTCAGGGACCCGCCTGTCTCCACCTTCCAGCACTGATGTGATACTTGGCTTGTCTGGTGGGTTCCAGGTTCAAACTGAGGTCCTCAGGCTGGCACAGCAAACACCTTATCCCCTGAACTATCTTCCTTGCCCCTCCCTCAACAGCGTGTCTTGAAAGGGCTTGTAGGTCCCTGTTTTCAGGTCCAGGCTGAGACCGTTCAGGGTTGACAGTTCACACAGAAGATACTGGGACTTTTGAGCCCTGTGTTCACACACAAGTCAGGTGTGTTCTTTACTTCTCATGTAGCATAAGCCAAGACCCTTAGTCTAGCTCACTGTCTAGAGAAGATTTTAAACAACCCCTCCCCTCCCGTCTGTACCCGCGACTGACTTCTGAACAGGTTTTCACCTCCAGGGAGTCCCAGCAAAGGGTGTGTGGGGGTCATGCTGTGCCTTCTCCACAGCCCAGAGCTGGTAGTTCCGAGTTAGTAGCCATCAGCAGGGGTCTGCCTTCCCAAAGGGCCATCCTGCCTTTGCTAGAAGAGTAATATGTGAGAAAGAAAGGCTAGAAAGTCGGTGAGGTCCCCTAATGGTTGGTGGGTCCAGAAACAGATCGTCTCCTGTGGTCTTCTCTCCTACAATTTGAGGCTGAGCATGTGAGTGTTATCTTTCATGTATGTGTATGGGGATTCATGTGTGTGCATATTGGAACAGGGTGGTGGATGTCACTCTGAATCCCTTGCCAGAGTAGATGGTGACAGTAGCTGCCTGAACAACTTGTCTCAAACGTGTTTATAGACGTTCAGACTTAGTGAAAGGAAGATCTATCTAGAAATCTGTCTTTCTTCCCTTCCTCTCTTCTTTCCCTCCCTCTTTTCTTTCTCTGTCATTTGATACAGAATCTCACTATGTAGATCAGGCTAGCCTCAAACTCCAGGGAATCCTCCTGCCTCAGCCTCCTGAATGTTAGGATTATAGGTGTGCACCACCATGCTCAGATTGTTTGGAGTTTTGTTGCTTACTTGAATTTGAGGCCAAGTCTGTAGCCCAAGCCGGGGTGGAACTCACAGCTATCCTCCTGCTTCAGTCTCCTAAGTGCTGGTATTATTGACCTAGCCACCAGGCCCAAGTCTTCATTCTTTACATAGTTCAGGGTGTTCGTCTAGTCCCTGAACACCGGATGCTTTTCCTTTTTCTTGTTTACTTGGAAAGCTGTATCTTCCAGATCACACCTCCCCAGGGACCAAGGAGGAAGCAGTGGAGAGTGGAAAACCCAGTGGACATGATCCGAAGCCAGGAAAAGCAGATTTGCCAAGCCAAGACCATGCAGTCGCCAGCCCGGTGTTGACACAGCCTGCCAAGACCACAGCACTGTAAGGAGGCCTTGGTCGCTTAACGCTGTGTTGGGTGGGAGGTGGCCTCCCCCACCAGGTGCTCCTTTTAATGCTTTGGGGAGAGCGAAGAATAATTCCTGGTGTGTGTGTGTGTGTGTGTGTGTGTGTGTGTGTGTGCATGCACGCGTGCAATCGCACACATGCACACCAGATGACAAACATCTCGGTAGCTCTTCATCTCTCAGTGAACCTGGAACTTGCCAGTTTGGCTACACTGACTGACCAGGGAGTCTGGAGAATCCTCCTGTCTCCATCCTAGCCTAGGGATTGTTGGAACATGTCTTAATGTTTGGCTTTTGTTCATATAGGTCCTAGGGGTCCGAACTCAGATTCTCAAATATCCGTGGTGAGCACTTTACCACTCAATCATCTCCCAGCCCCTCACTGTCTGTCTTAGGGCTACTATGGCTGTGATGAAACACCATGACCAAAAGTAACTTAGAGAGGAAAGGTTTATTCACCCACAGTTCAATAACAGTTCACCATCAAAAGCAGAGGAACTCAAACAGTGCAGAAACCAGGAGGTAGGAGTTGATGCAGAAGCCACAGAGGGTGTACTGCTTAATGGCTTGCCCCCATGGCTTGCCCAGCTTGCTTCTCATAGAAGCCAGGACCACCAGCCCAAGGGGGACCCCACCCACAATGGACTGGATCCTCTCCCATGGATCACTAATTAAGAAAATTCCCAACAGGTTTGCCGATAGCCCGATCTTATGGAGGCTTTTTCTCGATTGAGGCTCCCCACTCTCTGATGACTCTAGCTTGTGTCAGGTTGACGTAAAACTAGGCAGCACAGCATCCTTGAAGTCCCCATGTGTGTTAAGTTTCCAGGGCAGTCGGCAAAGGCAGATCATCTACAGAGTGACCTCCCAACAAGACAGCTCGGTGCTGCAGGTCATCAGTGGACCGGAAACTTCCGTTCAGGAGGAGATGTCCCTGGATGCCATGCACGTCTTCATTGATGAGCACGGTGAGTCTTAAAGAACTCCTAGAGAGCAAGAAGGGAGACAGCCATGGTTGTCTTCGGAACGCCGCTTGGTCCATAGTCTAAGTGTTAGACAGTGTGACAAGCAGACAGCCCTAGGATTCCCTTGCAGTATTCTTGGGGGTACTCTCTGCTTTCTGCCTTGGCATGTGCTATGTTTATTACACCTGTAGCATGCTGCTTACCCTTTCTGTCTTGTTTCCAAGGAGAACTTTTCAGGCAAACCTTAGAGTGAAACAGGTGCATCTAATTTTTGCTCTTTTAAAACACTTTATATTTTTATTTCATTTTTTTTTCTGACTTGGGCTAACGCTATAGCTCAGACTGACCTTGGACTTCTGACGCTCTATCCCTTAACCTCCTGAGTGCTGGGGTGACAGGCGTGTGCGAACACGCTTGGTCCATGTTGTCCTGGGGTTGGAAACCAGAGCTTTGTGCATGCCAGGTGGGCACTCTGCCCACTGAGCCACATTTTGGGCCCTACATTTTGCTCTCTAAACATCAATCCTCAACTTTCATCTCCATTATTACAGTAATTATTTCATGACTTATAATAATCTGCTAACAATATTTCTCCTCCTCAAGTGTAGACTTCACCAAGGCACATGCCCAGTGCCCAGTAAATATTTATTAGGTATTTATTAAACATTCTCATAGGTTTTCCTGGTGCCTTCATATAAAAATGATTTAATGCCAGACAGTGGTGGTGCACGCTTTTATCCCTGAACTCAGGAAGCAGAGGCAGGGGGATCTCTGTGAGTCCAAGGCCAGCGTGGTCTACCAATTGAGTTCCAGGCCAGCCAGGATGGTTTTGCAGAGAAACCCTGTCTTGAAAAACAAAAACAAACAAACAAACAAAGATTTAACGTAGTTTAATGAGAAATCACCAAACAAATGGTTGGATCAGAGTCCCAAGGACAAGGGACCTGGGCTCTTGGCTAAAGTTAGTTTTTAATCTGTATACAAAGTGGCAGGCTTCCTTATGAGGTTTCCACACTGGTTTAGTTTGGGTCAACTCCCCTGCCATCTCCCAGCCCCCATCCTTGCACAAATCCTTACATCTGCGTATTCACCGTCCTCTTTGATATCACAAGGGTTCTAGTCCCTCTCACTTCTTCCACGGTGCCCCTTTTTCTTCCTCCCCAGGTCCTTTCCAGTTTCTTGGTCTCTATACTCACGCCAGCATAAACACAAATATATACAAATTGAAAGTGGGAAGCCAGGACCTGCCTATGAGAAAGCATGTGCGGTTTGTCTGTCTGCCTGGCTCCGGCCCATTATCAGTCACTGAATATCCAGAATGCTGACTCTGTGACCTCATCTAGCTCATCTATCTTGTGTCACACACACACACACACACACACACACACAGGAACACACTCACACACACTCAAACACTGGAACACACACTCACACACACTCAAACACTGAAACACACACTCATATACACACTCAAACACTGGAACACACACACACTCAAACACTGGAACACACACACAACACACACTCAAACACTGGAACACATACACACACTCAAACACTGGAACACACACACACACACTCAAACACTGGAACACACACACACACACACACACACACACAGGCACTTTTGTCTAAGCCTCCAGAAGATGGAGGCCAAGCCTTGGTTTTGTTTTTGTCTGGCACTTTGGAGCTGAGGGCCACTCGGCAGGTGTCTCCACCAGAGAGTTAGCTGCATTTCCTGGGGTCCCAGAGGGAGGTGCTCCTTGGGACTGGGAAAGTACATTAAAACAGGGACTGATCTTCACACCCCAATACCCAGGACCCTCCAGCCGTGCTAACGTAACTCTGCAATTGAATCCCATCCTTGCTTCTCTTTACTGTGCTGACTCGAAGTTGGTAGCCACGTTTATCTTCCCTGAGGCCTGGACTCTGTGGCCTCCACCTAAATTGCATGCCTAAACCGCCTCTTTGTATATGTGATTCCTATGTGCTTGTACACAGAAACCACCTGCTCCACTCTTCCTCCAGTCCTGCTGGAACACAGGAAAAAAATAAAGGGATAGGGATGTCTCAGTATGTGGGGTGTGATAAGCCCGGGGGTAGATTCCTAGGGACGGGTCAGTCTGTGGAGTGTGATAAGGCCTGGGGTAGATTCCTTGTTTCATTTAACCTCACCTATAATCCCAGCACTCGAGAGTCAAAGCCGGAGTTCAAGGGTGTCAAGGCTACATAGCGAGTTCAAGACCAGCCTGGACGACCTGGGAAAGAATACTAAGTATGGTAGCCCATGCCTGTACCCCCAGCATAAAAGTGATAGTTAAAGGCCAGCCTGGATACCTGGAAAGAAAAAGAAGTGGAAAGGAAAAAAAAGCTAAAGAAAAGATGCTCTGTGCACTAACAGAGCAGCTGATATGCAGATCGAAGGCAGTGACGTCATGAGTGACGGGTGTACCAGGCAGACTTGCAGCACGTTCTTCTTAGTGGTTTTCTCTCGGTGCCACTCTCCTTTGCTAAGTAAATTCCCGTTTCAAATGTCAAACAGAACAAAACAAACCCAGTCCCTCCACAGACCTCTGATGGTGGCAGTGAGCTCGAGCTTCGTAGACAATGGGATGCTACTCTTTGCTCAAACCTCACCATTTTGCAGGGGAAATCAAGTCGTGTTATTTAAAGTCTGGAAACCAGAAAGAAGGCTCCTCCCAGCATCTGCCCTTGAACCCTGACTGTGCCTCTCGCGCCAGGTGAGTGTGCGTTGCCTTCCAGTCTGGGAGCCTGGATAGTGCTGGGGTCTACAGGCTCCTCTGTAGGAGTCAAGGCAGAGTTTCGTGTGAGATAAAAATATGACTTTATAGAGAACTTGGTAGAACCATTTTGGGGGTCGTGGTCCTAGTGGAAGGTGAACAGGACAGGCAGGTGGAGACAGGGAGGGGACCTGTGTGAAGGAATCTGAGAACAGCAGCTTGAGAGCTTGGCTCCCTGGAGGACAGTGCAGCATCTGCCCAAGGGCTCACTGGAAATGCGAATGCTTCTCGTTCATGGGTCACTCTACAGGTAGAGGGCTTAAGTGTTGCTTCTGTCTGTTAAAAAATGTGTCAAAGAGCTCCTAGCTCCTAGTAGAGTGAGTTCCCTTGGTACTGAAGTGGCTTGCGCAGCTAGCCAGTGTGCCGACTCACTGTGCACAGACCCAGCTGTTAGCCCACCAGCTGTGGGGGTCTGAGCTTCCCCGGGCTTAGAGGTTCCTTATGGCAATCTGAATGGTCTCCATTCCTTTCTGTAAATGTGGAGGCAGATCCGCTGTGTGCAGTACATTAGAACTGTGTGTGTGTGTGTGTGTGTGTGTGTGTGTGTGTGTGTGTGTGTCTGAAGAACTTCAGTCTATTACGGTATAATTGGCATGCTGTGGCCTTCCCACATGGAGACTGTAAATGGTGTTTTATGAACCTGGGATTATGACTCCTTTGGTAGGACCAAGTTGAAGCCCTCCGTTCCAACGCCAGCACCGCATAGACAATGCATGGTGGCGCGGAACTGTAATCCTGGCTCTTGGGAGGTGGTGGGAGCAAGAGCACTCAAAGTTCAAGGTCATCTTCAGCTGGAGATCAATGTCAAAGTCAGCCTGAGCTACGTGAGACCTGGTCTCAAGGAAAACACACAAAATCTAACTCCGGTGGCTTCTTGTTTCCTGAGTCCTGAGTTTTTTCAGGGGCGTGGTAGGGACTTTCAGGGACCCTAAAACAAGGGACATCATTTTCCTTGTCATCACACACAGCCGCTAGAATGTTCTCTCATTGATGCTATGACCCCATCATCAATTCTCACCTGATCAAAAATGCTAGTGCCCAATGTCAGTGCCCAGAGGTCTTCCTTCCCTGCCACCCTATCCTTCCCACTCTGCTCCCATGTGCCCTACTTGAACCCAGTCAACCTGCAGGGTCAGACAGGGCCTGCATCTCACCTCCTCCCTGCTCTGCAGTCTCTTCCAGCCTCAGGTGCCAGTGTGTGCACCAATCAAAGCTGACTTCCCCTGAGCAGACCGAAGCTTGAAAGGGAATGCACGCGTCCTCCTCTCTGGTTTTAGCTCTCGCCAGGACCACAGCTTGTGTGTTTCATCATCTAGCACGGCTGCTCTCTCAGATGACGTCTCCCACTGCAGGAAAACACAGGGCTGGGAGCTGTTGCGTCTTCTCCCCAGAGGCAGGTTGGCGTGTTCTTACGCTAAATTCAGAGCAAACAGAAGCCCCCTATTTCATCCCATAGTAAAGGCAGGAGCTTTGCATTTGTTGATTTTTTTGTTCTTTCTGAGTAAACCTGCATTACTCTCTTCCCAGGTCAGCACACCGACCTGAATTTACTAGTAACGCTAGTGTTCTGGACAAGAGGGTGATCTGTGATAGCTGTGTTGTCAGTTTTGAATAAGTGTGTTTATCTTCATTGTTTTTTTTTTTAAATTCTTTTTATGTGTGTAGGTGCTTTGCCTGCATGTGTGTATCTATATGCATGTAGTGCCCTTGAAGACCAGAAGTGGGGGCCAGAACTCCCAGAATTGGATTGCAGAAAGTTGTGAGCTACCATGTGGGTGCTGGGGATTGAGCCCCATTCTGCTGGAAGGGCAGCCAGTGTTCTTAACTTCTGAGCCATTGTTCAAAACCCACAGTTGACTTTACTAAGTATACAGGAAGTCAAAATAAAAGGCCATATAGCCAGGGGTGACAGATGTTAGATAGTAACCTCTGCTTCAAATCGCTCACCTTCTGGCTGTTTTCAAGCACCCCGGGTTTTCACTCTTGGGCTGTTTCTCTGATCTTCTCTTTCCTGTCACAGAGTTAGGGGAGCAGCCCTACCCAAAGGTCACTTTGAGATAAACACACACTTGGGTCTGATCTATACACTAGTGTGTATATCAGGACTTGAGGGTGGGGGGCAGTTGTGTTTCCAGAGCCAGCTCTTCAGTGAGCTCAAACAGCGTGTGACAGTCTATCCATATAACATACATTGCATGTCACATGCAGGGGACATGAGCTCAGCACCGAGTAGTCACACTGGGTGACTCACAAGCATCTGGAGCTTCAGCTCCAGGATCCATTCCTCTCTTCTGGTCTGTGTGGGCACCTGTGCACATATTGTGTCCATACAGACAAGTAATTACACACACTATACATGGACATAAATAGATAAAAAGCAGAATTTAAAAACAAAGCAATAAAAGGTGCACATATAGGTGAGAACATGGGGTTTCCTGCTTTAGGCTCACCTCTAGCTGCTCTGGACATAAGCAGAAGTCTGATCTCACACTGACGTGGGTTCGAATCTCAACACCCGTGCTTTCTGTTTCATGTGGTATAATTTCTTACTCATTAAGTTTAAAAGTTTTGCACTACATTTTCATTTATTTCTGTGTATGTGTGTGTGTGTGTGTGTGTGTGTGTGTGTGAGAGAGAGAGAGAGAGAGAGAGAGAGAGAGAGAGAGATCGCACATATGTGGAGGTCAAAGGTTAACTTCTCTCTTTCCACCATGTGGGTCCTGGGAAGCAAACTACTTGGGTCATCAGGCTTAGTGGCAAGCACATTTACTCACTGAGCCCATGTCACCATTCCTTGTCAGCTTTTTTGACCTATATGTTGAGAGAACCAATGAATTAACACACTGGCTTGCTGTAAAAATTAAAGTTGCTCTGAGAAGTTAACTCAGATGCTAAAACGCTTGCTGTACAGGCCTAGGGACTGAGATTCAAATGAAAAAGCCAGGTGTGATGTAGCATGCTTGCAGTCTAAGCCCTGGGTGGTAGAAGTGGGTGGGTGTCCACAGCTCCCTGGTCAGCCAGCCCACCTTAGTTACAGACGGGGTCAGTGAGAATACCTTCTCTCAAAGCAAGGTGAGTGGCGTCTGAGAGATGACACCAGAGGTTGACCGCTGACACCACAGGGCACACACACACACACGCACACGCACACGCACACACACACACACACACACACACACACACTTGTGCAGCATTCAAGACAGAGCCTGCACAGAGGGCACTCAGCAGTGTCAGGTGTGTGCCCCTCCTGGGTAGAGAAGGAGGACAAAGTTCAGGGTTCACTTTTCACAGCAGCCAACCCCTGGCATCCGCCAGGAGGAAGTCCGTTCTCAGCAGGGGTCACTTTATCCATTTGTGAAGTGGGTAGCCAAGGACATGGTGTTTCCCCAGCAGCCTGTGGTCCAATGCCTTGGCATTTTGTGGTGTCTAGGGCAGCCTTAGGGCAGGTGTTTAATATTCTGTCTCTAGCGCTTAAAGCCATTGAGTTCTGGATCCTCAGACTCTAGCAAACACAGTGTTGACTTTCTGATTGGAAGGGGGCCGGGTTAGGGCCCCATAAGCTGTTCACCATAGAAGGTACTGAAGAATCAGCTCTTCCCGGCTAAGGTGACCTCAGTGGCTGGAAGAACCTCCAGCTACCTCGTTAAACTGCTGGATCCCATTACTGGCAGGAAGGCGACTTTTGGCCATTGTGAGGCCTGGTGGTCACGTGACAGTTTTATGTCCCAGGTGCTGTGCTCTGAATGGGGACTTGTGAGCCATTCAACTTCTATGTCTCTTTAGGGATTCCTGGAGGAAGCTGAGAGACGAGATTCATTTCCCTTCCCAGCCTCCCGACACTGTGAGAAACAGCACCCCCGCCACCCTGCCCACCCACCCCCCCCCCCGCGCGCACACACACACACATATGCACACACGCACGTACGCACGCACAGACTAGCAGAGCACTTTGAGTTACACACTAACTGTTCATCAAGCAGGTGCCTTGGGAAAGGTTATCTGATTGTTCCTGCTCTCGCCAGAAACCTGAGCTGCAGCATTTCCAGGGGCTTCTGGGAAAGCTGCCCTACGATAAATCCCCTTCGTGTTTAACTGACCAGAACACAGGACAGATTTCCTAGTTCAGAGCCCAGAGTGAGCTGCTCTGCCTGAAAACTGATCTGGAAGGAGGTCATTAGCCCAGGAAATGGAAGAAGTTGCCTGAACGTTCTGAGCTGAAATGGTTCGCTGCACACAGGACTTCGCTGTCCTTTCCGGGTTTTGTAAGGAAAGCATTGCCCACCCCCCATCCCACGCGCCCGCACAGTCTCTCCCTCTCTCTCTCTCTCTCTCTGTGTGTGTGTGTGTTCGCACATGCACGTGCATATACATATGCACATGTACATTGCGTGTATATAGGCCAGAAGAGAACTTCAGGATATTGTTTGAGACAGTCTCTCATTGGCCCGTAGCTCCCCAAGGCTGGCTGGCCCGTGAGACTCCCCTGCCTCCTCAGTATAGGGATTACAAACATACACACACACACACACACACACACACACACACACACACTGCCATGCTTCGCTATGTGGGTTCTGGGATCAAACTCAGTCCTTACATTTGCAAGGTAAATACTTCATTGACTGAGCTGTCTTTCCAGCGTTGGTTTGATTTTTTTGAGACATGCAGCCCAGGCTGGACTTGAACTTTGGGTCCCCCTGCCTTTGTCTCCAGTCATAAATAAGAAGCACTTTTATTTTTTATTCAGCAAAGATTTCTATTTCTTTTGTCTACAAATTTCCCGAGTATTGTCTTCCCTTCAAAAGCCCCACCCTCCATGTTAGCTCAGCTCTCGGTCCATCTCTCAGGGGTTGTCCACTCGGGATTTCTTTTCTGAGACAGGGCCTCTCATTGGGGCTGGGCCTCACCAGGAGGCTGGGCTTGCCTGCTAGTCCACCAGG